GAAGTCTTAGCTTCGGGGCCTCAGGACTGGGTTGAGAAGCTTCCCATATTGTTCCATTTCCCTCACCCTGGCGACAGACTGCCACAGGCTCCAGCTTTAGCACATCGTTTTTCTGTTCCTAGGATCTTTTGCAGAGCTCAGCCAAGTCTCTTAAAGAAGAGGTGGCCTCCCTACTAATCTCTTGGGGCCATATAGCTTTGATTTTCTCTTATTTGAGCTCCATTCCCAGAGTTTCCGTTGTCAGCTAGAAATTTCCAATTAAACAGTTTCCCCATCATATCAAAATCAATATACTTGATTAACATCAGCAAACTGATGTTAATCTACTTTCTCCCCCTCTCCCCTAACACCACCAGACAACCAAACAAAAAATTCCTCTCCTAGCTTCTTTGTATGTTAAGTTGCTTGTTCATCGATTCATTCATTCAGCAAAAATGGACTGAGTATCTCTCTTGTGCCAGGCACTCTTCTGGGTACTGGTGGTACTGCAGTGAAAAGCAGACAAGTCTCTGCCCTCCTGTACATACATAATATATATGTGTATGTAGGTCAGTGGAGGAGTGTGTGGTGTTTTCTAATACCAAATACATTTTGTTTTTCTCTATCAGTTCTGTAGTTCTCTGTCACCAGCTGGGTGTCCTACACTTCAGTTCAGTTCTGGCACTAACTCCCAGAGGCAGACCCCACAGGTTAAGGTCTCAGTCCCACAAGACTGGCCCCACTTCAGATGCCAACTGCAGATAGGGTTCCCAGACTACCCCCACTTCTGCCCAGCTGACTATAAATTCAAGGGTTCCCAGGTTTGATAATTTGCTAAAAAACTCATGGAACTTAGAAAAGTGCTTATGATTACGGGTTTCTTAATGATGCAACTCAGGAACAGCCAAATGGAAGAGATACATGGGGTAAGGTATGGGGTGAGGGTGGCATGGAGTTTCCACGCCCTCTCTGGGCGCACCACCCTCCCGGTACATCAGTGTGTTTACCAACCCAGGAGCTCCCCACACCCCATCCTTCAGGTCTTTTATAGAGGGTCCATTACAGAGGCTTGGTTGATTAAATCACAGTCATCGGCCATTGGTGGTTGAGCTCAACCTTCAGCCCTCTGATCAAGTGCTTGCTTTCTGGTGACCAGGCCTCATGCCAAATGGCTCCACCATGATCATCTCATTAGCATAAACGGAGTGTGGTTTAAAAGGGGCTTCTACGAATAACAAAAGATACCCCTGTCTTTACTCAGAAAATTCCAAGGATTTTTAGGAGCTCTTGTGTCAGGAACTGGGGTCAAAGACCAAATAGGTATTTTTATTATACTCCAGGGAGACAGATGGTAAGCAGATAAACATGTAACATCAGTTAAGTACTGTTTGTTGGCGGGGCGGGAATTAAACCAGGGTAAGGGGTTTGTGAGAGACAGGAGTGCTCGTGTATGTAGGGTGATCAGGGATGGCCTCTGAGGAAGCGGCAGTTTAGCAGAGACCTTAGAGATTTGAGGCAGGAGCCATGTGGATGTCTTGGGAGGCGAGCATTCCAGGCAAAGGAAGCGGAGCATCCAGAGCACCTGAGGCAGGAGCGTGCTCGATGTGTTCGTAGTACCGACGAGAAGTCATGGGGCTGGAGTGTGTTGGGTGAGGCCTGCATGGCAGGAAGCACCAGGAAGCAACTGGGTCTGAGGAACCCCATCACTGCTCTTGTGTGACCTCGTGTGGAAACAGTGGAGTCATCGTGAACTTTTCCTCCAAATCTAGTCACTAAGTTTGGGTAATTAGTTCCCCGCACTCTGTGAATTTCGTCCCTTTTTTTTGGTGGTGGCAGGAACTCTCTTTGAGAACCCAAAAGCTAAAAAATTACCTTACTAGAAAAATGTATTCAAATGTACATATACATTTTATAAATAATTTCCTGAATTTTATGGATTCCTGATTTATATAGCACTTCTTTTGGAAAATCATATGTCCGTGGGTCTCAGTTTCAAGAATAAAATGTTGTCACATACGTGAAGCAGCATTGTGAAGCCTGGCACATAACTTTCTTTTGCACCGTCATCTAAAGCAGGCCAGTCATTTCAGGGTTCCCAAACTCGAGGCTCCTTCTGAACTCTCCTCATGAGGTTCCCCTCCTCTTACCTTAGACCCTTCCTTCAAGTGTCTCCTCAGCGCCTCTCCTTACTACCTGACACTTTCTAGACTAGTGCTGCATTCATGCTTACCATACAGCTTGGCTTGCTTTCTTGTGTGTGTGAATTTTGAAGGCGCTTATCTCTACAGCCTCCATTCCGTACAATTGTCAGGGAAGGTGTAGTGAATCTTATCTGTCTAACAGTAAGTGGTTGATCGGTTATAATAATTAAATACTCATAGTCGGTGCATCTTCTGGAACTGCATATATATTCCTTTGATCCTTTAATGCTGGGTTCTAGATTTAATGCACATTGGCTTACAATTGATTTGTGATAGGACTCGAATTTGAGAGTTTTCAGTACTCTCCCTCAGTCTTGAAAAGAGGACTACCTCATTCAAGAGCAAGATGTAAGTTCAGAAATTCTATTTTCATTTTCTGATCCCATTTCTCTCCCCGCCCCTACTCCTTTCCGGCCTGAATAGCTTCCATCCTCATCATCTTTGGAAGCTGCCACAGAAACATCACAGAACAGCCCAGAAGAGGAAATCGCAGAAACTGTAGGTGAAGAGTCAGAATCTGTTACTGAGAAAGAACAAGGAGAGAACAGTCACTGTGACACTAACTCAGAGATGCAGCAGATTCTTGCACGGGTTCGGCAGAACTTCGGCAGAATCAACGTCGTGCCTCAGTTTTCTGGGGATGACCTGGTTCCTTTGGAGATGTCAGATATCGATGAAGAGCTTGAAAGCTCTTCTGCAGAGGAAGAGGAGGAACAGGAGCAACAAGGAGACGAGGAGGAAGAGTCTTACCCAGAGCCCCAGGAAGAACATGTGGAAAACGACACCAAGGCGGTTATTAAAGCCCTGGATGAAAAGATCGCCAAATATCAGAAGTTTTTAAACAAAGCCAAAGCGAAAAAGTTCTCAGCGGTCAGGTATTGTTTTCATCTGCTCACCAATTGCAGTTAGCTCCTTCCTTTTCCCGAAACTTGCCATGAGTATTGGAGTGGTATTTACAGCAAGACCAGGGGTTGGGGGGGTTGTAATTTCCCACATTTTAAAAAAAACGACGTTAAATTTTGTAACAGTTCAGCTTTCCAAAATATGAGAAGCTTTATCGTTGTCTTTTTGAAATGCCAGGGAGCTGCAAAAACTGTTGGGTGGTGTCTTCTACCAGTGGCGGTAACTACATGAAGAGGAGTGGGGTGTTTTTAGTCTGCAAGGTTGTCACAAGTCAGCACGTGACTTGGGCAGTGGAGGGGAATGTCAGACAGCTTCACTGCCTTGCTTTTCTGTTTCAGGATATCCAAGGGACTAAGTGAAAAGGTTTTTGCAAAATCTGAAGAGCAAAAAACAACAGCTGAAGAAGATGTAGAAGATGCAGGTAGAGTTAAATTATTTAAATCATTGACATGTCATTTGCATCTTTGAGAAATCCAGGCTTAATCTCCAAATTATTTCTTGTACCATCATTACCCACACAGATGCTTATCTGTGGCAGATGACCTTGCTTCCACATACTATTTATAATACAAATAGGATTAGCCACTTTTCATTCTGACGTTTCTTAGGATTAAATTGATAATTCAGGAAACTTCCTTTTAAACAGGGTGCATTATTAACGTTATAACTTAAAGCTGGATCTGCAGGCAGATTTTTTTTTGTGGTGGGCAGGATGGTTCATGCATTTATTTTTTACTTCATTGAACTAACAGCTTCTATATCAAGAGTGTGTTTTCATGACATAAATGCACAGTCTGCTGTGGCCCCTGAGGCCCTTCCTGGCCTGGTGCCCCCAGCCTCATCCTGCTTTCCTCTGCAATTTGTTCACCATACTCCATTCGTGCTGGTCTTTTTCCTTCTTCCTCCAACACGTCAAGCTTATTCCCACCCTAGGACTCACAGACCCATTTTGAATAGGAAATACCTGTTTCTTTTCTGTGTGTGTGTGTTTGATGTTTGTAGCACCTGCCAAAAAGGGAAAGAAGAGGAAGGCACAGAGGGAAGAGGAGCATTCGAATAAAACTCGCAAGACACTTACGTCTAAGGAAGTACGTGATTTTGGTTTTCAATATCACCCAGGTGTAGAAAGTAGAGAGGAGAAATTCAGTTCTTAAGATGCAATCTTTCCAAAGCTAATGGTCTAGAGTTGAATCAGGGAACTTCAGTCCTAAGTGGCCTACTTAAGGATAGTTAAATAAGTTCCGGAGTTGGTCCTCTGGATGGAGGTCCTTGAGTTCATGTCTCATGGTTTAGAACTTCTTGATTGTTGTCCTCAAACATATGGACTGCCACCTAGAAGAGTCCATTGGTTTTATGTAGCCCCAGTGAAATGACACATGACATGCAGGGCTATTAGACAGATCATGGCCCTCTGAAGTTAGCTCTGTAACTGGGCCTTTCAGAGCTGCGGTGGGCTGTCTTGGGAAGTGAAGAGCTTGGTGTCGAAGCGTTTGGCCTTTGACCAGAGGACCACTTGTCAGGAGTGCAGTACAAGGGATTGAGGCATTGGATGACGGCTGGACCTGTTGACAGTCTGTAACTGGAAATTGTCTCAAATCACAATAGAAGAGCAACCTTGGGCCTGGGAGGCGAACCCTCCCCCATGAGCACTGACTGCTTCCAGTAGTTGTGGAGGCAGCAAGGGAATGGAGCACAGAGAAACAGAGGGGCCTGTTTATGACTTTCCACGTTTGATTGGTTTGCCTGTTCTTTTGCCATTTTTTACAGCGGAGGCGAGCTGCACGGCAGCAACAGTCCAGAAAAGTTGGTGTACGCTACTATGAAACCCACAACGTGAAAAACAGGAACAGGAACAAAAAGAAGACCAATGACTCAGAGGGACAGAAACACAAACACAACAAATTCAGACATAAGCAGTAACATTTTAAAAGTTGTTTATTAAATTATACAAAAATAAGCAGTTAGAAATTGTGTTCATTTTCTTCATGCCCAGTTAGCATTTCTGAGGCCACAGTGCATTTGTTCTGAGGTCTGACAGTTGAAACCATTCACCATTGCCAGTGTAAATAAAGTCCCTCACCCCCAAGGATTTCAGCGATGGAGTCCATTCGCGCTTTCAACATTTGAATCAGACTTCCTAGTTCCTCCAGAGTGTAACCCTGTCATGTAAATGTCTGACAGAACAGGGATGAAGTCTGTAAGATGGAAAGTGTGGTTTCTTTTGTACTGGCAATTAGCAGTTTGGAACAGAAGCTGTTTGGCATAGAACTGTAAAAAGAAGAAAATTTCAAGGGTATAGTAGATAAGGCCTACTCTGTAAAATATGAAGAGAAAGCTACAGCAATTTCTATTGTTCCTCATTGAGTCTGTGAGGTGGATCCAATTAGGACATTGTCAAGGAGTTGTGGAACTAGCACATCTCAGTGAACAACATTCTTTCCCATGAAGATGACAGAGCAGACAGGTCATTTTAATGGGGTCTCAATTCCTCAGGACACCTGAATAAGGGTAGAAGCTGTGACTTCAAATTTGAGAGTAGAATGTACGGGGCATGTTTGACTTGGTCAGACACAGTTCTTGTTGGACAACAGTTCTTGAGTGAGCCTTGAAGCCCTAACGAGGACCGGTGTCAGTTCAAGGCTCCACTAAAGAGAGTTTCTCTTTGCATCTCTTTAGGGTAATACTGACCACTTGAGGTGTTTCAGCCGAGGAGGAACATTAGTGCTTTCTTAGGTATGTCACTTGTGGAATTTGACTGAATGATGGAAGTCGCTCAGCTTGCTGCCCTAGCCCACCCGGGTCTGACCTGCATTAAAGATTTATGTTGCTCATTTAGTCTTTTTAGTCTATGAGGAGGAGTCCTGAGCCTTCAAACTGAGTTTAACTTAAGAAGAATAGTAAAATGCAGTTGTCTGCAGGCCGTAGCCCAGTCGTTAGTAATTAGAACTGCATGTGAAGTTTGGACATCTCTCCCATTGTTAATTAAACATAGCGAGTTAGAGGGGTGTAGGGCCAGGGTTTGGTCTTTTGCGGAATAAAGTGAACAAATCAATGTTGGGGGAGGAGCTAAGGTGCAAGCATCTTACAGTGGACATTGTGACTTGTAATTCTTTCCAGCACAATTACTTTTTTGTAAGCCGTGGGTTTGACTCTGCCATTGCCTCCTCACCTAGGCAGTCTGAAACAGAGAAGGGGTCCAGTTGATTTGGCATGCAGGGATCAGATGATACAGTATAAACTCAAAACTCCAAAATGAGTAACTAGAACTGCATTGGAGCAGGGATGATAGAAATATCAAATAAGGGAGAGACTGAGCAGTTTCATTTGGCCAGAAGTAAGTGGTGATACAGAGTGATGAAGAAGCAGTTGCTTCACCTGAGAGAGACAGCAGAAAAGGGTGAATTCTGTCTTACTATTTGAGTTGGCAACTCTCACAGACTGTCTGGGCTACACCACCTTCCACTGCCCATCTGGGAGCCTAGCTGCCAGACTTAGGTGTTTCATGACCCTGGAGCAATAGCGTGACTCCTGACAAATAATGTAGGTGGTGATCAGGGCAGGGTATGGCTTGTTCACTCAGGAAACTAGCTTTTTATTACAAACGGTTTAAGATAGGGTAGTAGTGCTTATGAGACCCACATGGAAATTATCACTTCTTTGGTGCAATAATGCCTTCCAGTTGGGCCTGAAAAACAAAAACAAAGTTCATTAATATTTGAAACTTGCGCCTAACACAAACAGCTGAGAGGTGATAAAAGTCTGGGAAGGATAATCCCAGTGCCACCGCTCCAAGTGTTTTTCTCCTTCATTCCCCACTCCATATTTTCCAGATTAGCTGGTTTCTGGCTTGGCATACAGTGTTGCTACATTAGGAGAAACCAGAGCTGGTTTCCATACAATAACGGCTCAGTGCATAATATAAAGCACTGAAAAGGAAATTGAAAAAAAGTTGTTGAAATAGTGGTTTTTCATGGCTCAGATTTCAGGCCTAAATATGTCTGCTAGGTTAAACATTGGGATCCTGGGAGCTCTGTGCTAGGACAAAAGGTTTGGGAAACTGCAAATTTTCAGCCACTGAGACAACTTGACACCCAATTAGAGAAAATTGCTACCAGTGAGTAGGGAGCTGTCCGTCTTGTATGTAGAGCCGAAGACGCTTGAGAGTTATTTACTCAGCTCCTCTGGCAGCCAGTAACATAATTTACCATCATGGTGTGTGGACAGATCTTTAAGTAGGTCTATCCCAGGGACTGCGAACACTGCTTTATTTGCAGTGTGGCTTTGAGCCAATAAAAATAACTCACTTCTAAAGAGTCCTTCACCCTGGGGATTACAAGGTTGCTTGTAAATGTTAGAAAGATGCCAGGGTATTCTGCTTTGCTCTCGCCGCCAATACTACAGGAGGAACTGAGGAAGCTTATGATAAAGGAATATGGCAGATAATGGGGGCGGTTTCAGAGGCTGCCAAGTAAACAGATGCACACGTGGCTGTGAACCTTTCTAGCTTTTCTTTGTTTTTGTTAAAATCAGCAGAAAGAAAATCTATGTTATCTTCCACTAGCAGTTAAGCCTTTATCTCAAGTGTCCAGCCTTCTTGGTTTGTAGCACTTACATGCCTGCCAATCACAAGAATGTAAGCTTTCTATGAGACTAGGGAGGAGAGGAGAAAAATTCAGGGGCCCCTTCTGGCCAGGGTCACAGGATATAGCCACTAAATGTCAATAGGCCACGTATCTAGAACAGCAGTTCTCAAACTTCAGCAAGCATCGGAATCACCTGGAGACCTTGTTAGACCAGATTGTTGGACCCCAACTCCAAAGTTTCTGATTCAGCAGATCTGGGATGGGGCCAGTAATCTATTCCCAAAAAGTGCCAGGTGATGATGATACTGGAACCCAACCTTTGAGACCCTTTGGACCAGACAAGTAGCCTGGAATTTCAAGAGGCCCCTGCTCAGAGCTTTTCACCAGCACCCCCTCCTTCCCTTCAGCTCAGCTGGATAAAAGTATACGCCAGCGAGAGAGCTTTGAGGAAATGCACCTACAGTGTATTTCCTGTGACCACACATGTGGGGAAGGATCCTGATTTGAAATGGTTCTTCCCTCTCAAGGGGCCTGCCCTCTCCGCCCCAAACGCAGTGCCTCAGAGGGAAGTGCAGGTGGGAAGGCACTCCCGCGAAAGCCTGCTGAAGAGCTCTAGCCCACTGTAGGAAGGCTCCAAATTACCAGCTGCTCCAAATAACCACCTCTCCCGAGGATGGTCAACTTTATTCCAAGGGGAAAATATCCTCCACTGGAGAGCGAAGCTAAGGTGTCATGGGGATTCAGAGTTGAGGAAGAGTCTCCTCCAGAGCCAGATGAATGGAGAATCTGGGTCATGAACCCTCTTTCCCCCAAACTCCCCAAAAGCCAGCCTCCTTTTCTCCTTGGCAGCGCATGTGGACAAGAATTTAAAGTCATCCGGAGGAAAAGGAACCGAATGCTTGGCCGGTGTGGCTGGGAGGACGGGTGAGGGAGCACCTCCACCTGGGCCTGTGTGATGATTACCTTCAGCTGCTGATTCGTCCTCTTCAGGAACTGAATCTCCTCGTTGTGCTTCTTCTCCTCCACCTGTCTCCTTTCACTCTCCCGCTTTTCGGTGGCTTCACATTTTGCCTTCTGCTCGTTCACTTGCCTCTCCAAATCTCTCTTTTCTGTTTCTAATTCTGCAATCTAAGGACAGAACCCCTAGTCATCCTGGGGTGTTGCCAAGTGGATGGGGTGGCTTGAGTGCCTGGGTGGAGGGGACCTGGAATACGGCTGTCCAACCCAAAATATTGCCAGGGTCTGTACTGCCACCCAGTGGGAGATCAGTGACTGGCATGGCATATCCAAGAGGAGAAAACTCTGCCATGACCAGACTGGCCCTTACAATCTGAACCAAGAGACCTCACTGAGATGATGGGAGAGCACCCTAGGAGGCAAGAATTTAGTGCTGGAATGACAACCACGTGGCCCAGAGACTGACGGAAGAGTCACAGAGGGCTAAGGTTCGCGGTAAACCCCACTCACTTTCCTCTCCATGTCTGACTTCCCCTGCTCAGCCTGCAGCGCCTTCCTCATGCCAAACGCCACACTGCTCTCATACAAGGTCTGGTAGGCAGCAATGGTCATGCGGATCTCATCCCGGACTCGCAGCAGCAGCAGCCCCCTCTCTGCACAGTTGATGGTGACCTCACGGATCAGCTCATCTTCCAATGCACACACACAGCGAAGTCAGAGAAGACAGGAGGGAGGGGATATGCACCATGTCTACTGCAAACCACTCTTCCTACTGGGAAGGGTTCTAGGCTGTGTCCTCACTTAAAGACTCATCTCAAGGAGGGGACTTCAGTGGCCCCAGGAACCTTGCCATGCAGCCACAGCTCTGAATTTGGCACTTGGGAGTACAGGCAGTTGACAAACCCAGGACAGAAGGAGACAGCTGTGAGGCCCCTCTCTTCTTTCTTCAGCCAAGAATTGGGTACTATTCAAAGAAATGTGGCTTTTCAATTTGAAGATGGTAGCTGCTTTAAAGCAGTGCGAAGATCCTATGTGCCTCTTTGGCTGGACTAGTTTGGGGCTGGAAACAGCACAGTCTAGAGCTTGCCCACCCATCTCCTCCAAAAATGCTGACCTGGAGGGCTAACCATAATCATACTCAGACTGCAGGGAGCCTGCAAGCTCTTGCCGCTGCCTCGGGATTTGGAGGAAGTTTGAATGTCAGCGTCCTCGTGGGCCAGTGAGATTGGGCTGTGGGAAAGCCATTTCACACCAGAATTTGGGGAGGAGGATCTTAAATCCTGTGTCTGTCAGTTAACAACAAATTACCCTGAAATATTTTTCTGGACTAAGGGCCAATGTTGATGGATGGATATAAATATAGAACAATTTTACTGATTAAAAAATTAACACAAGCTTATTTTAGAAATCTTTGAAAAAAACAAAACATTTAAATGGAAGTTCTCATTTACTCCAAACATCTGCTAAGAGGTGAGGAACCAGGTTGTCAGGAACCAGGTTGACTGACAAGTGGGGACACACGCAGGAGAGGCGGGGCCAGGAGAGGAAGAAGGTGTGTTTAGCAGTTCCTAGGTGGGGCAGGTAGAAAGAGACAGCCGATTCCAGGATGAGGTGGGCTTCAGCTTGGGGATACTCAGGGCTGGGGCCCGTGTTGAAGGGGAAAGGAAGGAGGCAGTAGAGTGTAGTGTACCCCCCGCCCCCAGGCCACTCACCAAAACACTGTGAGTAGAGCTCCCTGCGGACAGGGCAGATCCCAGTCTCCCTGGCCTGCCGCTGCTGCAGCTTCAGGTCCAGCTGCTCCTGGAGGTGTACTACATCCATCCTGGTGCTGGGGGTGCTGGACACTTGCTGGATCCATAGCTGTGTGTCTTCCACCCACTCCCTGCAGCACAGACACAGCCAGGCTGAGCAAAACCCATTGACCAAAGAGGGTTCTCAGGACATGAGCAGAGATGACCCTTTGAGCTCTCTGCCTGAGCAGGAGTGAGGGGCAGCTATGTCACCAACCCACCAGAATCATCCATCCCTCTCTCTTCCTTGGAAAATATGTGGCTCCAGAACCACACTGACTAAGATGGCTCCACAGGGTCCCTATCTCGGGGCTTGGCAATCTCCACTCTCCCATGTCCTTCTGTGAAATCATCACCGTGTTCTAGATCTTACCCTCCTAACGCGTTGAGGACAAATTTATGGTTGTTGCTGGATCTGAATAGAAGGCCCAGTGGGAACTGCCCACGGACTTGTGGGGTAGGAGACACAGGACACCAAAAACATTGTGCCAGTCAGAAAGAGGTGAACGTGTGTATTGGGGAATGGGAAAATTCTTGAAGGATTGTAGCCCCCCATAGTCAGAGGCATGGCCAGTTTCTAGAATCACGAAGAGGGAGCCTGAGGGCAGAACCGCTTTGGGGGAGAGAACTTCCATGCATTGGTGGGAGGGAACCTACTGAAAAATCACCCCCAGCTTCTTTGTCATCCATCTCAGAGGAGATTGCAGTCTCTCTTTTCATGACCTTAAAAATTATGCTGTCTATTGTCCGGGGGTGGCTCCATAGTGTAGGGGTTAGCATATCTGCTTTACACGCAGGTCCTGGGTTCGCTCCCCAGGTGGAGCCACGAACCATACCCCAGGGGTACCGGGCCCCAGGTGCGGCCCCGCTGCGGCCCCAGTGCGGCCCCTGTGCAGTCGCGAGCACATGGGAGGAGACACCCTGCCTTCAGAGATCCAGTTCTTAAGGGGAGACGGCAACATCCATAGGTCAGGGGTGGAAGTGGGGTGGGGAGAATTAAAGAGGGGAGAAAAAAATTGTGCTGTCAACTTACTATATAAAAATAGTCAAAAAGGCATGTCAGATAGTGATAAATGTGGCTACAGAAGAAGCAGTGTATGGAGATCATGAAGAAGTGAGCAGGTGCTCTTTTTATAAGGATTCTCAAGGAAAGCCTTCTTGAGGAAATGACATTTGAGCGAAGAAAGAAGAGAACCAGGAGGATATCATGGGGAGAATATCTTTGGCAGTAAGAACAGCAGTTGTCAAGGCCCTGAGGTAGAAGAGTGAAGTGTTTCAGAAACAACAAGTAGAGTCCCCTGTGGCATTAGCACCACGAACAAGAAGGAGAATAAAAGGAGATAAGATCTGCGTATGTCGAGCCAGATCATGCCAAGTCTTCCAGGTCTTCCAGGTCACTGTAAGGACTTTGCATTTTAGTCCCAGTGAGATGAGAAAGCATTAAAGAGTTTCCAGCAGAAGTCTGGCATGATCTGACTTTGGGGATGTGTGAAGAATAGATTGTAGAGGCAAACGGTGGAAGCTGGGTTTTCAGATAGGAGGCCACTACAGTAGTGCAGGTGACAAACAATGAATAAAACGTGGAAGCAGAAGTGGTGATAAGTGGTCATATTTGGGATATAATTTGAAAGTGGAGCCAAAAGAATTTGATGAAAGATGGGATATGTGATGTGAGAGACCAAAAGGGATGAGAGTTAGCCTGAGTCCCTAGTAGAGGGGAAAAGACTGGGGATGAGCAGGTTGGGAGAAGAAAGAAATTGTGATTTAGTTTGGACATGCTGAGTTTGAGATATCTATTAGCATCTTCAAGAAGGTAATGAGGAAGATATAGAATATACGGGTCTGGATTTTAGGGGCGAGGACAGGGCTGGAAATACATATTTGGGAGCCATCAGCACATAGATGGTAGTTAAAGCCATGAGCCTGGGTGACAGCACTAAGGAAATGAGGGTAGATGGAGAAGAGGTCTTCTCTCCACCCCTCCCAAGATCCAGCCATCCGCAGTGCTAGGAGCTCCAGGATGCTGGGAGGAAATCCCAGCCAGGAACGGAGACAGGGTGCCTCTCTCCACATTCTCAAGTTCTGAGATGCAAAAGTTTGGGCCTTCTCCCAGGCCGCTCCTTTGTTGTTGTTTGTTTGTTTGTTTGTTTGTTTACCTTGGGGGCAGGATGGCATTCAAGATTTCTTCTGCTTGCTTTGTAGGATCTGTGACACAGGAAGTTGAGGGGAGCTTGGCCTTTGGTGGCTGTGGGACTGGACCTGAGGGTCCAGGTTGTTGGGGGCTGACTTTCAGTGGCCGAGCCTAAGAAGAAGGAACAGGTTAGGGGAGGAGATGATTCAGACACTGAGCTCCACACATTCTGGCCCTCTGCATTGCTCCAGGTCTCCTGCACACCCCTCTCTTATTCCCAGTTCACTTTATCTGTCTTCTCAGCAGAAGTTTTGTCTCAGAATTGACAGAGGCCATGAAGAGTCTCTGGTCCCACCCCAATCCAATGTTTGCATCTCCTTGAACCAATGTTTCTGACACAGTACTTAAGTCTCTGCTTTCACACCTCTAGTGATGGGGCAGTCACTATCAGATCTATTCTTGGACCCGGCTACAATAAAAAATAGTGAGCCCCATTCATCTCCTTGTGACTTCCTTCCCCATCCTAAATCTGCCCTCTGGGGTCGCACAACATCTGGGTTTCTTGTACCTCTCTTTCACACTCCTCCCGTCCCAATTCCCTTTACTCCCAGTCGCTTCAGCCTCTGTCCTTTGGGACTCCGGATTCGCAACGCTGAGAACTGTCTTTCCCTTTCGGAGCTTCCGAGCTCCCCCACCCCCTGAGACCCGTCCTTACTTTAGGGCTCCTTTTCTCCGTGTTCCGGCTCACCAGCACCGGGGTGTCATACTTGAGCAGAGAGTCCGCGGGGGGAATCATGGCGGCAGCTGGAGTAGTAGCCCAGCAGCGGCCCCTCCAGGCAGAGCCTTGTTTACCGTCACCATGGAAACTCCCTCTCCCAGCCTCAAGGCCTGGGCGGGGCTTCGGAGTTGGGCGGGGCCAGCAGGGCTCCAGTTTCTGCGCAGCCTTCGCGAAAAGTTCTTCCGTGCTTAGCTTGTCAGGTCTCCGACTAAATGGGTCACTCCGGTACTCTTGGAAGCAGGGAAACAGGCGTTCACGTCCCTATGTCGCGTCTAGCGCGCAATCTGAATGAGGTGGCAGGTCTTCGCTGACCCCCAATTTTCGTCTCCTGCAAAGTGGGAGACATCTGACTCCTCAATGAAGAGTGGGGGGAAATTCCCAGAGGAGGCCATCTATAGTTCTCAGGTTTTAAAAAGTATGTATCATTAATTAAACGAAGAAATGACAACATAACAGGAAGTTCAAGAACAGAGGGGACATACTAATGATTTGCCCACGGGCTACCATATATGATTACATTTCCTTCTCTACTTTCCTTCGTATTTCCAAACGTAAATATAAGCACATTGTGCGCACAATTTTGTATCCTGCTTCTTTCGTTTAACAGGTCAGGGTTTTTTTTCCCTTTTGTCATAGAGAGTCTGTAAATAGCATTGCAAATGGCGTTATAACATTCATCGATTGGCTAAACAACTCCTTACTGCTGGGCATTTAAGTGCTCTCCGTGTTTAGGAAATTACTAATGGTGCAGCAACAAACAGCTTCGAGAGAAGCTTTTTCCCAGAAGTTGGCTTTTGAAACTTAAAACTCCCTCCACGGGAGTCGCCTCGCTACGGCCCCGCCCACAATAGCGTCGTTGTCACGTGATTGGCTTCTCCATCGCGAGGGCTTCTGGGAGAGCGTACACCCCAGAAGCGGAAGTCTAGGGGTATATCTCGTCATTTCCTTGAGCGAGAGAAGCGCAACGGACGTGTTTTCCTTTCGCTCAGCATGAAGGAGGTGAAGAGTGAGCGGGAGCGGGGCAGCCGGCGAAGGCACCGGGACGAGGACATAGTAGCGGCGGCGGCGGCGGTAGTAGTGAAGCAGGAGCGCCTCAGCCCGGAGGCCGCGCCTCCTGTCCACCGCCGCCCGGACTCCTCCGGCGGGAGCGCATCCCCGCCGGCCGGCGAGCAGGGCCGTCCTGGTCACCGCGGAAACCGAGCCCGAGGACGTAGCCGGTAAGTGGGAAGCACCCCGGGGTGGACCTTAGGTCGGGCTCGTTGAGAAAGGAGGACAGGGCTAGCGTTAGAAACACACCTTGAATGCTGAGCGCAGCGGCTTAGACTTAATCCTAAGGGGTGGAAATGACCCGGTGGTGTTTGCGTTATTGTTTACCTGTCACTTGCGTTGTAGCTGGGCGTTAAGCGCCTAATGGACAGAGTCCTGCCCATTCATCTCTCTGTGCCCAGTGCTTCGCCCAGTATGGCCCGCCCTAGCGTATCGTTTAAGTCGAAATGCAAGGTTTTCCCCACCTGCCTGCAAATGGAGTGTGAACGTTGTCTTTCCAGTTATCTGCCCCAAAAGGTTTCCACTTCTAGGGCCTAGGAGATCTACCTGATACAGCTAATGAAAAAAAACTTGTCTCGTGCTAGACTCATTCATTCAGTCTAGTTTTACTGGGTACTTATTATGTGCTAAAGACTGCTCTAGGCACTGGGGCCTCATGGAAGAACAAGACAGATGGTTATTACTCTCAAAATTGACAGTGCTCTAGCCCTGAGACAAAATAACTAGCAAGTAAAGTAAATAGTTTCCATTAGTAACAAGTATTAGGGATAGGTTAAAACAATAAAGTGATAGAGATTGAGGGGAAGTGGAGAAGGCCATTTGAGTTGAGACCTGAATAAGACTAATCCAGCCTTGTAAAGATGCTGGCGGGGGAAACAACACATACGAAGAACTTGAAATATAATTAATTGTGATTGTTCTAGAAATAGAAAAAAAATTGTAGTGATCAAGGAGAGCGGTTGGAATGAGGTGGGAAAGGTAGAAGACAGAGCCTAATGACTTGCTGATGATTGAATGTGATTGCGTGGGAAGGGTAGTGAGGAAAAAAAGAATCATGGGTGACTTCTAGGTTTTTGGCTTGAGCAGGTGGATGGTAGTGCCAATTACTGAGATGGCAAAGACAGAGGAAAGGTTTTGAGGGGTGGAGAATCAAGTTATCTAAAAAGAAAGTTTGGTAGGCAGTTATGTCTATGAGTCTGGAACTCAGAGGCGACATTAGAGCTGGGAAAGTGAAGTCCCTGAGTCCTATAGTGTGAAAAGCAGAGACCTTCACAAATGTGGTGTTTATGTGATAGGTACACCTGGTATTTGAAGGTCATTTATATGGGGGAAGGGAAATTGAGATAAAATCCTGTGTGTCCTATTCTCTTAACAGGTCCCCAACCAAAAAGAAAAAGTCTTCAGGAAGAAGAAGCAAGTCTCCTCGGAGTAACAGAAGCCGAAGCCCTCACCACTCAACAGTCAAGGTGAAGCAGGTAAATGGATTGAGTTGTTTTGATACTGGGTCCAAATCTAGAGCCTCTTTCCATCATAGCTAGAGTGTTGTGTATGTGTCCACCAGTACCTGTAATGGGCTTTTATCAAAGCTGGGTGGGATTTTTTTCTCTTTGTTTTGTTAAATGAAACTGTTTTGAGATACTTATTGATTCACATGCACTTGTAAAAATAGTACAGGCATATACTCTTTATCCTGTTTCTCCCAATGGTAGCATCTTAGAGAATTCTAGTACAATATCACAACCAGAATATTGACAACAATACAGTCAAGATGTAAAATATTTCCATCACCATAGAGATCCCTTACGTTGTCCTTTTATAGTCACACCCACTTCCCTCCCACTTTTACCTCTCAACTCCTGGCAACTTCTGTTGTCCATTTCTATAATTTTGTCACATCAGATCTTATATATTTCTTAAGTATATTCCTAGGTATTGAATAATTTTTGTTACAGTTGAAATGAGATTTTAAAATTACTATTATAGTTTCTTTTTTGGCATAAGAGAAAACCAACTTTTTCCTTTACATATTATCTTGTGCATGACTACTTACCTCTATTAGTTCTCTTTTCCATATATGCTCCCCTATAAGTTTGCCTGCAGGTACTTTTGTGTCTAGGGCTCTGAACATAGGCTTGCACTGTTAGAGCTAGGGTTGGGCAACAGCATGGGATACAGTCAGTATTGCCTTACACGAGTACCTAACAACCACTGATAACCTTATTTCATGGAACATTTTGCTCTTAAATGCCAGAGTCCAAATCACAAATTCCTTTTTGAATGCAGCTTGTTTATAGATTATAGAGTGCCTTTAACTGACTGAATCACTATGAATTTCAGGAACGTGAGGATCATCCCCCACGGAGAGGACGGGAGGATAGGCAGCACCGGGAAGCATCAGGACAGGAACACAGGCGAGCTAGGAACAGTGACCGAGACAGGCACAGGGGCCATTCCCACCAGAGGAGAACATCTAACGAGAGGCCTGGGAGCGGGCAGGCTCAGGGACGGGATCGAGACCTTCATAATCTGCAGGCTCAGGAGGCAGAGCGAGAATTTTATAATGCGCGACGGCGAGAGCATCGCCAGAAGAATGAAGTTAGTGCCAGCAGTAATGAGTCTCAGGAGTCGGTTCCTCAACCTGGTGGCAACAACAAAGAAAAACCAGTGCCTGCTAAGGAAAAGCCGAGCTTTGAACTTTCTGGGGCACTTCTTGAGGACACAAACACCTTCCGGGGTGTAGTCATTAAATATAGCGAGCCCCCGGAAGCACGTATCCCCAAAAAACGGTGGCGTCTCTACCCATTTAAAAATGATGAGGTGCTTCCAGTCATGTACATCCATCGACAAAGCGCTTACCTCCTGGGACGACACCGCCGTATCGCAGACATTCCAATCGATCATCCCTCTTGTTCAAAGCAGCACGCAGTCTTTCAGTATCGGTAAGTATACATTTGCAGAAAGAAACTCGAGTGTAAGCAGAAGCTAATGTCTCCGTTAGGGTTACTAAGTTTCGTGTATATGTATATGCAGAAGGATCCATACCCCTCATATCTAATATCAGTCTTAAGGAGTATTAACCTTACTGTCCTTTGAGTAACCATTTATATCTGTATATGAGCATTGAACTTGGTGTCAGGAATCCAGATTTTGAATCCTGCCATTATTGCTTACCAAGTGTTTTACTTCCAGTAAGCCGCTCTCTGGGCTTTAGTTTCTACCTACCTCACAGGGCTATTATGAGGATTAAAATGAAATATAATTGAGAATGCCTGGCATATGTGTTGACCATAGCTATATCTTGACAGTTTGCATAGTACATCTGTTATTGTTTGATCCTCACAACAATCCTGTGAAGAGGGTAAGACAGGTATTAATTAATATCCACATTTGACAGGTAAGAAGACTGAAGCTCAGCAAGGCCATGTGACTTGCCTAATAAATGATCACCATAGTAGAACTCTGGCTGAAATCTAGCTCCCTTAACTCTGAAGTCTAAATCCGCTTTATTTCCATTGGAATAGAAGATGAAATATGTTGAAATATAGGTGAAATAAGCATATATTGATTATAAACAACACAAAAAAATGCATTTTCTTAACTAGAGCAACAAGTCTTGGATTCTGCCTTTTAAGCTTTTGATGTGCTGTGAATTTCCTGTCCTCCCACAACCAGTTCTCACCTTTTCTAAGTATTTAACTTAGTAGAGAGTGGAGGAAGTGGAGAGGGCCTCTCTGAAAAGGTCCAAAGCCATGCCTTCCTCCTTGATTTAGAGTTTGAACTTGAACCGTGTTGAAGCCAGGTTATTTATATTGTCCAGGCTGTGTTAGCAAAAAGCTGGATGATCTGAGGCAGGATTTTGCTCACAGGTTTCTCTCCTTTTTCTCTTCCAGGCTCGTGGAATACACCCGTGCTGATGGGACAGTTGGCCGTAGAGTGAGGCCCTACATCATTGACCTTGGCTCAGGCAATGGAACATTCTTGAACAACAAGCGCATTGAGCCACAGAGATACTATGAACTGAAGGAAAAAGATGTACTTAAATTTGGGTAATGAGTCCTCTGACACCTCTGAAGTAGACAGGAAAGAAGATGAGGATGAGGAGGAGGAGGAGGAAGTGTCTGACAGCTAGCAAACTAAGAAACAGCCCAAACTCTTGAGAGACCTTTCCTTTCTCCGAAGGCTTTGGGATTGACTCAAAGAGCACAGTGGTGCTCTCTGTAACGCCTTTTATTGCCTTAAGTCTTTCCTTGGTTGCTGGCCAGCTTGTGTTACAGTATAAGAAAACTGACTTATGTTTGGTCGAACTTTTTTCTGTGGCACATCTGCCACGTGCCTGTGGGCACGTTTTCAGAACAGTCTCACCAACACATCGTGTTTCGTAGAAGCGTTGTGGCTTTAGTTGGTGCTTTCAGAACTGTTGCCTAGGAAATTATAAACCATTGGATAAAGGGGAATTGTGGCTTGTTCTCTTTGTACGTACAGTTACTTGATTTATAAGCTTTGTGGACTGGGTTTGTTTGGTTTTTGTTTCTGGGGCAAACCCCTTTTACTAAGCTTTGGTCATCACCAAAACAGCCTCCAGTATATACCAAAGCTTTGACCTGGTTGAGCTCTTGAGTCACAGAAGTTGATTTTGCACTTCTCTTTTTTGGGGGGTGGGAGTTTACCACATGACCTCATTATTGACTATTGGACTTAAACAGATACTTTATGGAGGCTCTTAGCATATGACTGTACAGGAAGATCATGACTACTATCAGTGGGTGCTGATTTAATGCCACAAGAGGCTGAAATGCATCGGAGATCTGTGTTCTGTGAGAGAATTCTAATTTCTCCATGGAGCATGTACATAATAATTTTGATCATCTTATCTGTTCTTCAACTTTGCATTTTTATTCAAATTTTATCTTTCTTCCTTTTTGAGAAACACACTGTCATTTATGTGGCAGGGTCCTAGCTTTATTCTAACAACACATGTATAAGTCTAAAAGGGGTTGTGTAGTTTACATGTTTCATCTTTTTAAGACATTCAGAGGTCGTATTTACCTTTCCAAGGCTGGAAAGCATGGGAATTGCCCAATTTCCTAATTTTCCACTAGAGGAATATATGTTAAGTAGAAAAATCATAGCTACTTACATATGCTGTGTGCCTGTGTGTGTGTGTGTATGTATGTGTATGAAAGAGCTGCATACTGATTTTCATAGGAGAATGTTTTGTGATGTAAATGTAATACTACATTATAGGCAAAGGCCTCCCTCTGAAGAGCAGGTTTTCATTTATATGTATTTTTGGGATAAAAAATAATAAAATTTGTAAATATAGTCCCATATCTCAGTGAGTGAGCATTGTTCTTGTTGAAGCAGCAGTATTTTCTGAATTGGCAATGAAGGGGTTTTCCTTCCCAGAATAGTTAGAGTTGGGGCAGATTATACATAGTGGGCCTTTTACCAGTTTATCCTTGTCCTGGCTGTTTTCACCTTCTGGTTATGAGGGGAATGTGGGATGGGGTGAAAGGAGAGGTGATGCAACTCTCAGTCAGTGCTACTGCTAATTATTCCTCTTGAGTTGAAACTTATGATACTATTAGGTTGTCTTCTTTACCACTGTTTTTCCATTAAGGTCTCACACACCCATGTGTACTCAGGGCTAAAGGATGACTAGCATGGGGAGGGGTAGCTGACTAATCTTTGTTCAAAAGAAATGGAAAGATCCTCTTTGAAGAGTGAACATTTAATAAGGTCAGTTAGGTGAAAGTTTAAATGAGGGTTTAGAAGCTACAATAATGTAAGAGCAATTAATATCCCCCTCAATGTGTTCTACATGGACGACTATAACTAATATTTTCATAATTTTGATATATGCCATAGATCACATATTACATATGTCCCTGTCTAAAAGGTGGGTTTCGATTTGATGAATTTTTCTCTTGATCCAGATTGATGGTTTTCTCTTTCAGGGATTAGGCATTAATCTGGCAAGGGGCCTCTTCTTTTGGTTTGTGCTACTTCTACTTCCTGGAGGCCTTGGGCTTTGCTTTGAACACCATTTTGGTGGGCACTGTGATAGATGACCACTTTGCCTACATTTTTCAATAAGAGGTCCCAATTATGTAGTAAACTTTTGCTTCCTGGCTTAAGAGGTTTTTCATACTCAGTATCTGGGATGGTGCCCCACCCCTCCCACCATCTTTTTTTAAGAAAGAGGGTCAAAGAAAAGATCTCCAAAGCCAGATATCACCAGTAGACTTCTCATTTGAAGCTGACAAATTCCCTAAGCTTTCTTCTTGAATTCATTGCTTAGAAACTCATGTTCATCTAAACTATTTGTAACTTTATTCCCCTTCTTTTCTCCACCCTGGCTGGCTTGTCTACAAATTATTGCTGTTAAAATCAAGCCACCTGCAAAACAGCCCTTTGCTTCTGAGCCCCTTCCCCATATCCTCTGTGATGGTCTACAGTTCTGCCAAGGTATGGAAAAGAATCTTCATATTTTTCCCATTAAGCCTCTTCGTAGTCATCTTCTAATTCCTTCATTCTAACCTTGACAGAGGACAGCTTATTAAGTGCAACTAGTGATGTAACTGTCAAATACTTTTATTGTATCCTGGTGATAACTGAAAGCTGAGTAATCAGTTCAGATAACTGAAATTTTAAAAAATTTCATTGCGTATGCCAGTATACAACATAGCTTGGTTTTAAAAGGCTTAGAACTAAGTATTTCAGGTCAATTATCAGTTGATATAGTGCCCAAGTGGTTGTATTTTTTAACATCCTTCCCTTTGTGGAAATTTGTAGATGCGAGAAATAAAATGATGTTAATCAAAGCCTAACTGTGACATACACGCAACATGCTAGCAATGCTTGCTTGTGAGATGGTATTCTGAGGCCACAATGTTCCCAGGTATGTGAGTTTATATCAACTGAAAAGCCTACTTGATTTAAATTAAAGCTTTGGAACTGAAAACGTCATCTGGGCTCTTGGGTGAAGTTTCCAGTATATTTATCAAATGGGAAACAATTTTAAGAGTTGATTCATACACATGTACTCTAAAGTGAATTAATTAACTAAATCAACAGTTTGCATAAGCTTACTATGCTAGCATTTGGTTTACAACTGTGAGTTAGAAGCAGGAAGCAATAATGTGGAGATGGGCTGCACCATGTGCAAGAGATGGCATTTAAATTATGCCTTAGAGACTAAGTGGATTTAGAACAAGAAGTAGAGGAGGGCATTGTTTCAGACTGAGCAGTCCAGGGTCCACAGCAAGTTAGTGATAGAACTAAGATGAAAAGTCATCTCGGTCCCAGTTCCATGGTCTTTCCTCTGGACTGTTGCTTCCTACCTCCCTAGCTGAGCTTAGTGAAGAGATCTGACGAGGGAAAAGACAGCTGGTTCATTTGGCGACAGCTCATTAGGCTGTTCAGTTCAGCTGTCCAATTCGTAGGGGGTTCAAGGAAATCACAGTGGGTGGGATTTTCAATGGTAGAGAGTGGCTCAGACAAATCCTCACTTCCCCAAGTCATAGCCAGAGCTACTTGGAAATCATGTTGGTTCATAAAAATAGACAAATATTCAATAATCGGGTGCCTAAGAAGTGCCATGAACTGAGATCTCAATAATAAAACTGGCTAATACTTAGGAGCACTTTCTATGTACAAGGCACAGTTTTAAGCATTTTATATGTATAGTAACACGTATCTTAACTCATTTCTTCCTCATAATCCTTAACTGCTGTGATATATTACCTCTTATAGCCTCTTATAGTTATGAGATGTATAAGGTCTGGCCCATGCAGAGCAATACAACCAGCAGCTTCAGACAGTGCTAAATAGGAGAAGCACTGGGGATTATGGAAGCAGAGTAGTGTTCAACAAAGCCTTGGAAGTCAGTCAGAAGAGGCCAGCGGAGATGAGAAAAGAAATACATATTTCTAGACAGAGAGACTAGCATTCAGAAATACCTGAATGATAAACTAATGAGAATTTGGAAGCATTTGAAGTTCAATAGGGAAAAGAAGTGAGTGAGACTTCTGGTTTCTGAAACTTCCTATTTGAAAATAGCCAAAACTTCTGGATAAAATATAAATAAAATAATTTCACAAAGCATCCAAGAACCTACACATTAGTAAAAAAGTTATCAGGCCAAAAGTGAAGATAAATAAAAATCCAGAGAGAAATGGGGTATAGATGCCTGGAAACAACATTTGGTCTAAAAGAAAACCATATTTGATTCTAGTAAATCAGACTTTACCCTAGGTTGACTAGGACAGAATTCAAAACCCACATACTATAGATAGTCTAATAGAATTTGTTGCCCACAACATCTGGCATACCAAAGGTCTATAATTTTCAGAATAAAAGAGCAGATCAGAAATTGAATCCTCCCAGGTATTTACAGCCTGGGAGCTCAGGAAACCCCAAGCCTTGAACTTGGTTTAAGATGACCCTGTTCTATTAGAGACTCCAGGTATCTGATAGAAATCAATGAAATTAACCTTTGGAGCAAAGAATGTTTTTTTTAAATCTCAGCTCCAGTTATTTCCACATTTCACTCCCACCAAGATATAATTTTTTTAAATGCACATGAGAAAAGACACTATAGGTGAGACCCAACAGAAATAACATAACAGAAACTGATTCTTAACAAGCTTCAGATACTTGAATTACAAGGTAACTATAAAATGTTCATGGTTCCTAGTTTCAAAGAAATAAATGGCAAGCTTGAAAATACCCATGGAGAAGAAGATATGGCAACAGGAGAAATGGGAGTTATTTAAAAGACCAACTAGAACTTTTAGAAATGAAAAATACAATATCTGTACAAAAACCCATCAATGAAAGGCTTTAACAGAAACTTCAGGGAGAATTAATAAACTGGAAGATTGGTCAAAAGAAATTATCCTTGCACATAAATTTAATAACTTAGATGAACTGGACCAATCCTTTGAAAACCATAAACTACCAAAATTCACTTGATATAAAATAGGTCATCTGAATAGTCCTATAAATATTTGAACTTGTAACTGAAAAGCTTCAGAATTAAAAAGCTTCAGAAAAGAAATATCCAGGCCCAGATGGTGACGATTTCACTGAAGAATTCTACCAAACATTTCAAGAAGAATTAGAACCATTCTATACCATCTTTTTTAGAAATTAAAAAAGCAGGGAACACCCCTCAACTCATTTTATAAGGCCATTATTGTTTGGATACCAAAATCAGACAGGAAAGTACAAAACGCACACACACACACACACACACACACACACATGCGCACACACACACACACAAACTTCCAGTCCAACGCCTCATAAATTTAGCCACAAAAATCCTCAATAAAATATTAGCAAATTGAATCTAACAATATTTAAAAAGAATTATAAACTTAGCTGAGTTGGGTTTATTTCAGATATTCAAGGCTGGTTCAACACTTGGAAATGAATCTGTGTAATCCACTATATCAAGAGGATAGAGAAGAAAAATTATGATCATATCAATTAGTGCAGGAAAAGAATCTGACAAAATTTAATACCTATTCATGATAAAAACTATCAGTAAACCAGGAATAGAGGGGAACTTACTCAACTTGATAAAGAGCATCTACAAAAACCTTACAATAACATCATATTTAATGGTGAAAGACATTACTTTCCTCCTAAGACAGTGAACAAGTCAAGGATGTCCACTCTGACCACTCTTATTCAACAAAGAACTGGAAGTCCTAGTCAGCATGGTAATGCAAGGAAAGGAAAGAAAGCATACAGATTGAAAAAGAAAAAATAAAACTCCTTATTTGAAGATGAAATGATTGTTCGTATAAAAAATGCCAAGAAATCTACAAAAATACTTCCTAGAACTAATAACGGAGTTCAGCAAGATCCCAGATTATAAAATCAACACACAAAAGAAACTACCCAGAATCTAACAGAGAGACAAAAAGACGGAAAAAGAGATAGAGGGTAAAAAAGAATAAAAAGATTATTATGCTTATTCTAGTTCCTGAAGGAGAGAGAAAATGAGGCAGCGGCATATCTTAAGACAAATTGCTGAGAATTTCCCAGAATTGGTGAAAGATACCAATCCACAGATTGTAGAAAACCAAAGACTTCTAAGCAAGGGGGAAGGAAAGAAAGAAGGAAGGAAGGAAGGAAGGAAGGAAGGAAGGCATCTACACAAAATAAGATGATGGATTTAAAGCCAATAATATTCATACTTAAAACTAAATGTAAACATTCTAAACTCCCAAATAAAAGGCAGCTATTTCTGGGTAAGATAACTGCAAGATACTACAATGTGCTGTTGAATAGAAATTCACTTTAATGTAGGCACAGGGATCGGTTCAGTGTAGAAGGC